TCTTTTTTTTTTTTTTTAGTAAGCCATCTTAAATTGTTCCAAAACATTTAACTTTTTTTTTTTTTGGTAATTTATTTTTTTATATAAACAAATGCTCAAACTTGTATTTTAACAGCTTAGACAATGTATAATGACATCCCACCACTGCAAGGTCCGCTGGGATATGTAGAGTAAGGAAATCAGCCTACCGTTGGCACACAGTGGATTGTGTGAGGTGCTTGTGTTGTATAAGTCAGGGTTCTCCAAAGGAACAACTGATAGAGTGAATATGTATATTAAAGGGAGTTGTTAGAGTGGCTTACATAGCATAGGCCAGTTCAGGTAGTCCAACCATGACTGTTGTGCTGGAGAGGCTGAGAAGCCACTTGCTGTTCAGTCCATGAGGTACCAGTCTTGTGCCAGAGGCTTGGGGGATTCTTGGGGAGCTACTGGTCTTCATTCTGTGTTGGAGGCCTGAAGAAGTTGGTTCTAATATCGTTGAAGGAATGCAGCAGCGACAGGATAGGTGAAATTGCCAGCAAGAATGAATGCAAGCAGGCAAATAGCAAAAGCTCCCCTCCTCTATGTCCTTTTGTTCTGGGTGGGTCTTCCCCTTACAGGTGTGCCCAGTGGGCTGCATTTTAGCAGAGTCCTGATAGAGTCAACCTGAAAACCAAGATTAGCCAGTACACTCAGCTTCCCTGGTCAGCTGTTTTAGGAGGAGTACCTAGATAACTCGTAAGGAACCAAACTTTTGTTGTAAATTGTTCTTACAGTAAGTTCACTGATAGGTTTTTTTTCCTTACCTAATGAACAAGACACCCCCCCCCCCCCCGAGGAAACAAAGCCCTCTATAAGGCATACAGCAATTTTAAATTGCAAGTGAAGTGCTTTGTCCCAGATTGATAGGATTCATGAGGGCATCAGGGAGGAAAAAGGACAGTGAAGTTGCCAGTTATCTCTTTAAAAAAGAATAATGCTCTTTGCTTTCAGTGATAGGAATATTAGGGAATCTCTGATTATTTGAGGTAGCTGGGAGCCTTGTCTGTTTTAGAGGTTATTCAATTATTGGTTTTCTGAGTTCTAGTGTTAAACCTGGAAATTGAGAGGAGAGAGACCAAATCCACGACTGTCCAGTTAAAGCAAGCTGTATTTTGGGGTCCACCCGGGACTGACCAGTCCCGACTGTCGCTCTCTCTCTAAGTGCTGCTGGCTTCTTGAGGTCCCCTTTGTGGGAGAGATAAAGTGTTACAGGGGCGAGAGAGTTGGCTGTTACACATTGTTAGAAAGATACAATGAAGAGGAAGGAACAACCTGAGGATACACATTGTGTGAATGGGGTCTCAAGGTCAGTGTAGGTTGGAAAACATGCTTTGCAGTTTACATCCGACCTAAGAAACAGGAACTTACTCTTAATTACAAATTGAAACCTTAACTTGCAAGAACTTAACACAAGACAAATGGGAACTTATGCTTTAACTACAAACAGAAACCTTAGCCTGCCCAGGACAAACAGGAGCTTTCTTAGCTATTTTAACTGCAAACAGAAACATTAACTTGCAAGATATAGTGTCCTGTTTTGGTCTCACACTAGTTGCTTTTGTGAGGGTTTATTTATTTAGTTACTTCTTTTCCTGGTGCTTGGGATGGAATCCTGTGCTAAGAACACACTCTTGTCTTGAAGTACATTTAACTGTGCTTCACAGGGGGCTACTAGCTGGCTTTGTAGCCTATGTGACAAGTCTATTTTAAGCCCAAACAAACCTCTATGATTTTTTTGTATTACCTTCATTTAGACCTTTGTATGTTGAATACCATCAGCTATTTTTCTGCCTTTTACCAAAACATTTTTCTTTTTATCTTTTTTATTTTATTTTATTTTTTAAGACAGTACCTGACTATATATAGTCCAGGTTGCCCTCAAACTCCCAATCCTCCCGTCTAAGCCGATTGTTAGAATTATAGATGTGTATTACTATTTCTGATTGTGTTTTTTATCCTCTCCCTTTTCCTCCCCCCTCCCTCTCTCTCCCTCTTCCTTTTCTTCCCCCCTCTCACCCTCCCTCCCTTCCTTCCTCCCTTCTCCTTCCCTTCATTCCTTCATGCTGGAGATTGAACCCAGAATTTGAATATATAAGCACACACTCTAACACTGAACTACAGTCTTAGTTCCCAATAAATTAAACTCAGAACTAGCAGTGGATAGCTTGTGGTCTTTTGTGTCTTATCACTTTGACTTAGCATAAGTTGTTGAAGTTCATCCATATTGTAGCATGTATTGCTATTGCTTTCCTTTTTATTGCTTAATAATATTGCATTGCTTTTTCAATGTGAATTCATTCAGTACCAGATGGATAATCTAGGACATTAAGAATAATGCTTATCTGAAATTTGCCACCACAGGCATAATGTTTTCATTTCTCTTGGGTGGGTACCTAAGAGTAGTAGTTTCAGTTTGAGTGTTAAATTTATGTTTAGCTTTTTAAGAAATTACCAAACTGTCTTATTTTATTTTTAGGTTTTTTTGAGACAGGGTCTCAATATGTAGCTCTGGCTGTCTTGGAACTCATTATTGTAGACCAGGCTGGTCTTGAACACACAAGAGATCCACCTGCCTCTGCCTCCAAGTGCTGGGACTGAAGGTGTACATCACCATGCCCAGCTTTGGCTCACTTTCTAATTTGGTGCATTGGGCTGCAATGTCTCTGTCTGTGCTGTCAGTCTATCTCTGTGTTTGTGTATTGTTGCAGATTTTGCTGCATTCTTGTTAGTACTTGTCTGTTTACCATGTAGGGATGTGGTTCTTCCACACCCTTACTGGTACTTGTAATTGTCTCCCATTTTCTTTATGGCCATTCTCATGGGAGTAATGTTAATTTCATCTTTGGATAGCTAATGATGGGCATCTTTTCAAAGATTTACACATATTTCTGGGTGAGATCCCTGCTCAGGTAATTGTTCATCTTACAGTTTCATCACCATCCTATGATTGAATTACAAGAGTTCTTTATGTTTTAGTGTGTTTTTGTTTGTTCTTAGAAACAGATAATTTACATGCACCTTTTTAAATCTCTGTCTTATTCTCTTGCTCTCTTTTTTTCTTTCTTTAATGAAATTTTAAGGGGGACTCTTTCAATGCTCATTTCAAAGATTAGAGGGGACAGTGAATTGATAGACCAATGACAAGGTACCTTACCCTGTTCTTCAACTTTCCTTCAAAAAGTACTTACATAGATCCTATCATGGTGACCCATATTCATGGTTCCAGTACTCAAGAGGCAGAGGCTGGAGGATTCAGAGCTAGAGCCAGCCTGATACACACACACACACACACACACACACACACACACACACACACACACACATCCTGGCTAGAACCAGTCTGATACACACACACAAACATACAGAGCCCCTGTTTAAATAAAAATAAAACAAAAGTCCTTGCGTAGTCCCGCAGCTGCTTTCTTAATGATACTAATGATATCACAATTTCAAACCTCTTGTCTCAGTAGCCACTTCAACTGTACATTATCTTTTTGCCATAGTTACTTGAGCATGCATGGAACAACAGACACTGTCTGAAAGTATATTTACTGGACTACGACTATTGCTCAATTTGTAGAGTTCTTGTGAAACATGCTTAAAACCCTGGTTTCTATATCCAGTGTCACATGAATCTGGCATGATGACACACTCCTGTCATCCCAGCTTGGAGGAGTTGGGAGGCAGGAGGATCAGAAGTTCAGGTTCATTTTAGCTATAGAGAGCATTTGAGGACAGCCTGAGATACATGAGATGCTATCACAAAGGTAAAGAGAGTAAATTTTTTGCATGCTGCTAGGACTCTTAGAATTGTTAGTGAGACTACAGAACAAATCTCATACAATGGGAAGACGATGGGAGGCAGCTCCTGGTAGAGACCACAGCCAGAACCACCCCATAGGTGTGGTCTGGCTCAGACAGCATCACTGTTGTTTACAAGCAGCTGCTTGCTGGCATTGAGGATGGTCCTCATTGTGGTCATCATACTTGGTCTTGGAGCAGCAGTTGGAAGAGGTTTCTTTCTGTCTTTTGGGACACCAGTTCTCAGAGTCTGGCCCACACATTCATCTGTACTCCATATTCAAAGGACATTGAGGTTTCGGTGTCTTACATTTTTTAAGCTTGATGTGAGGTAGATTCCATCTTACTTTAGTGCTAAAAGAAATTCAGGTATTCATCCAACTTAAATTGTAAACAAAATAAAGTTCCATGGACCTCAGTTTCTCATCTCCGTTTCAGGTCCTACTGTATTCCCCTTCTCCTTCACAGACAATATTGATTATTCTCACTTGTGTTTCCTGATGCAAGCTACCAGCATCTGGTGTACATGCTTGCTTACTAATCTTGCTTACTATACACCTCATGTTGTGGTGACCCCCAACCTTAAAATTATTTTGTTGCTAGTTCATAACCATAATTTTGTACTGTTATAAATCCTAATGTAAATATCTGATATGCAGGATATCTGATATGCGACCCTCCAAAGGGGTCACAACCCACAGGTTGAGAACTGCTCTTCTACAAGACGTGACACCAACAGTCAACACCTGTTTCAGCTAGCAAACTGGCATCTTTGATTCTTAACTCCTTCACATCTTCTCAGTTTTATTTCCAGACAGCTCCTGGTTGCCACCATTTCTCTTTTCCTCTTACACGTAACCCATGCCCAAGCCACTGTCAGTAATAGCCTGAAATAGTTACCCACAGAAGAGTCATGTGGATAATGTTATTCTTCAATTTTTAAACACCCACCCTTAGGAGGAAGCCTGAACAATCTCATGTGTCCCTTGTTCTCTCTGATCTCCAGCGTTCATTGTCTCTGTTTTTCTTCTTGATTTTGATATTTTAGTTTTATTGAACTCCCAGCTTGCAAACCTCTTTCTACCTTAGTTGTACCTCATATGTGGGAAGTGAGAAATTCCACCTACTTAACTATTTATAGAATATAGATTCTTCGAATGTTTTCAACATCTTTTCAGGGGAGGTGGGCATGTGAACATGTCTTTTCCTGCTCCATCATGACCCACATCTGCCTAGAAGGTTGACTTAGCATCTGTGAACCAGCACCATAGTCAGCCGCAGCAGTGCGAGAGACACAGCATTGAACCCTCTGACATCTTAGCCCAGGTGAGGCCTCAGCAGCAGTTAATAAGTGAATGTCTAGTTTCAGCATAGCGAAATGCATTTTGTATTCCTTTCTTACAGTGAGAAACTCCCTTGTTAAAGTGTACTCTACTTTATTTGAGAACAACGTGTGTAATATCTGTGTAAAACAGAAATGAAATAGTTCATAAAAACCAGCAAGTGTGTAGAGAAAGGAAAAGAGTGTCAATGAAAATTGTAGTGAGCATGTTTTTATTTTATTTTTTCAAAGATGGAATTAGAAATGCTGCTGGAATAGAGTATGAGTTGGGATACTTTCAGTTGGAAAGTCACAAATTCTTTGAAAATAACTTTATAAATTTATTCATTTTAATGTATCAGAAAAATCCAGAGCAGGATAAGCTTCCGGCCAACAGCTGACCTGGCGACACTAATATCCTCTGTAATCTTATTTGTTGTTGTGTTTTGCTTCTTTTGGTATAACTTACGTTCCCAACTTCCTACAGCAGCTCTGTTGAATAGAAATAGAATGGAAGGGTCTGGAGAGATGGTTCAGTGGGTAAGAGCACTGGCTGCTCTTCAGAGGATCCAGGTTCGATTCCCAGCAACCACATGGTGGCTCACACCCATTTGCAACTCCAGTTTCAGGGCATCTGTTGTCCTTTTCAGGCCTCTGAGGGCACCAGGCACACAGTGGCCCAGGCATACATGCAGACAATCGATTACTCATGCACATAAAATGAAAATTTTGAATCATTTTTAAGGGCAATATAATAGAAGTCAACATTTTAAATTTAAACATTCTAGTGACTACATTTCAGCAAATAAAAAGAAACATTTGAAATTAGATTTAATAATGTCCTCCATTTAACTCAGCTGTCCAGCACATTGCTATTTCAGCATGTTCTTGGTGTGAAAATGACTAGGGAAATGTTTTGTATTCCTTTCTTACATTAAGTTTTCAGATTAGTATTTTACCTTGAGAATACATTTCTTTTGTGTTGAGCACATTTCCAAAGCACAGCAGCAGGGCACTTTCAGTGGCTTCTGAGTGGAGCCATTCAGATGACTGGCACCATGGATCTGTTTGGCAGCCTTGTGGATGAAATGCACTAAATGATGCAATGCAGTCGAGATTCACTCTGGGAGAATAATGCTAAAACCAAGGTTTCTTTTTGGGTTTTCTTCTAGAAGTTTTGTAATTTTGCATGTAATATTTAGGTCTGTGATGTATTTTGAGTTAGTTAAAGCTTGAAATATTCCTCAAGGTTCTACTTTTTTACATACAGATTTCTTGTGTTCTCTAGTTGGGTGTTGAAAACGCTGTCCCGTCTATCTTGATTTGCTTTGGCACCTTTGGCAGGACTGTGATGGTCTTCTTTTGTGTGGCCACACAGAGTTCAGAATCAGCTTGCTGATGTGTGTCACAAGCCCTGCAGGAATTCTGAGTGTCTCTTAGCGGTTAGCAGAGGAGCATCTTAGTAACACTAATCTTCTGGCTGCTACTTAGAAGATCTTTGATCTTTTTCCCCTTTAAATTTTTAATTTGTTGCTATACAGATTCTGAATCTATGTGTTAGATTTACAACAGTATTTTATGGTTTGGTGCTCTTGTAAATGCTACTTACTTTTTTTTTTTTTAATCTATATGGACGTTTTGCCTTCATGTATGTTTGTGTACCACATGCATGGTACCTGAGTTGGTCAGCTTGGATCCTTTGCAGCTGGTGGTTATGAGCCAATGTGTGGGTGCTGAAAACCGAACCTGGGTCCTCTGCAATTGCAACAATTGCTCTTTAACCACTGAGCCATCTCTCCATCCCTGTAAATGGTACTTTTTAAGAAAAGCAAGCAAATCACTTAGATTCTAGATCATTCCTAGTATGTAGAAATGCAGTTGATTTTTTTTTTTTTTTTTAAATCCTTGAGTCTGGCAGCTTTACTGAATTCATGTTAATCGAAAAGTTGAACTCTGTCTCTCTCTCTCTCTCTCTCTCTCTCTCTGTCTCTCTCTCTCTCTCAACTTTGAGTTTTTTCTGTGTTATAATTATATTATCTGTGGGTAAATGTTTTTATTGTTTTCCATTTATTGTATTTGCTTGGATTTTGGGTATGATGCTGCCGAACAGCTGTTAGAGCCACAGACGTTGTCCTGTTTCAGTGTTGATGAAAAGCATTCCACCTTTCATTACTAAATATGATGTCAACTGGAGGGGTTCTCCATGCCACTCACCAGTGGCAGGATACCTATTCTATTTCTAGTTCACTTCAACTTTTGGACATGAGTAAGATGAGCAGTTTCACTAGGTGCTGTTTTGCAGTTATTAGTTCTTATTCAGTCTGCTATGATGGTGGTTTGCATTGGTTTATTTTTAAATGCCACTTACACTTTCCATGGTATAGTATCTGTTCACATATTGCTAAGGATCTTTTTCACCTCTATTCATGAGGAATAATCCTATGCATTTCTCTTTGTAATTTAATTTTATGTCTTCTTCATTAGGATAATTTTTGACCTTATTCAAACAGTTTGGGGAATGTTTTCTTCTAGTTCAGGTTCTGAACTAAATTGAGAAAAACTGGCATTGTTTTCTCTTGTAATAGTTAATCAAGTTGGCAATGAAGCCCTCCAGGCATGGAATTTTCTCTAACATACTTTGTAAGTGCAACCCTAATTTCTTAAATAGCTACTTGACTATTTGGGCTATTTTTTGTTTTTTGGTAGTTTATGTATTCAAGGAGGTCTATTTATCTAAGTTTTGGGGTGTGTGTGTGTGTGTGTGTGTGTGTGTGTGTGTGTGTGTGTGTGTGAGATACAGATGTCCCATTTGTGGCTTTAGCACTTGGAAGTCACTTTTTCTCTGTGCTTTTTCCAGTTTCGAGTTTCTGCACTGCCCACTGTACAAACTTCTCTGGAGAGTTCTGAGAACTGCACTAATCTATCTGTGACTATAGAGCTAGGGATTTAGAAATCAGTTTGAAGCTGTGTGCAATCAGCAAAATAATAGTAGTAGGTTCATGTTTGGGGCCTGTGAGCTCCTCAGCCATGAGTTCTTGGCCAGATTTATAGTACCAGGCACATGTTTCCTCCATGAAGCCTCGTGCCTCTTGTTTTACCTGGTGCCAGGAATCTAAACACACATCCTTGTTTATGCACGGCAAGCAGTTTAGCAAGTGAATGATCTCCCTGGTCCTCATCTAAGTTCTTCAGTTTGTGGATATAGAATTGTTTGTAATAATAGCTGGTCTTTGTAGTTTCTGTAGGTTCTTAAACAATATCTTCTTGCATTTTCAAACGTCCTTAACTGATGAGTTGTTTGTACTTCACTTGAACATATATACTTTTTGTTTCCACACCCTTGCAAGCAAATGCTTCAAATCTTTCATTGTGTCTAGTAGTTGATTCTCATTCAGAAAGAATAATTTTCTTCTACTTTAATGAATAAATAAAGGCTGCTGATATGTATGTTCTTCTGTCAAAGTTGCATGCCTGCATTTGGTGAAGACTGCTGAAATTATTATCCACTTAGAAACCTCAGTAAATGTCTTCTCAAATGTGATTCAAGTACTGCATCATTTTTTTAACTATTTATTGTTGGATATCATGGTTTATTATCACTCTGGAGGCTGAGGCCGGAGAGTTGTTTCAGTCCAGTCTGGACTATAAAACGAGAACAGGTTTCAAAAGAAGGACAAGTCTTTATACTGTCAATTCTGAATTGAAAAACAGGAGAATGAATAAGAGCAAAAGGATAGTGATGGGATATTGTTGCTCAAGTTTATGGGTATCCGAGTTTTCTTTTGTTTTTAACTGAAACTAACCTTGGTGGCAAATGCAGTATACTCACACTCAAATCACCTGTTTATAACTGGATGTCCAAGTAACCCATGTGTGTGTGTTAAGATGGGTCTTACTATATAGCCCAAGCTGACTCCAACTCAGGATCCATGCACCTGTGCCTCCCAAGTGCTAGGATTTTATGTGCCACTGTGCCCAGCTACATTTTTAACTTTCTTTTTTTCAGGAAAAAAGAAAGAAAAGAGGGAAGAACGTTCCTAAAAAGATAGGCCATACTTTGAAGTTTTGTAAGTCATGTTTGTTTCTTGTTCTATTTGCTTGTAGAATGGGAAAAAACTAAAAACAAAAAACACTTTAAATTTTTTAACAAAATGAATACTTAGGTCACTGTTTTAAAGATGTAGGCTTTGTGAATCCTTTTTAAAATGTAAAGGTAATTATTAATTTTACTTGACAGGTAGCTATTTTAATTAAAACGTAACCTTAAAATGCTTAATATTGCAAAAAATATGCAGAGATTTTTTTCAACAACAGAGACCATGTATTGCACACAAAAACTAGAGTTTTGTTGGAAAGGCATAAATGAGAATTATCAACAAGTAGTTAGTGTTTATGCCATTGCTATTTCTGTCAAGTAATTTTTCTTCCTCTGTTTCTATACCATGCATTAGGAACTTCTTTTTTAAGCAAAACAATAAAGAAATGACATAAAAAATTGAAAATTAGTATTTTCATGTATATGTCATGTACCACACACCATCTTTGTGTAGCCTGTAAGTGGCATAATGATGCTGTGTTTATAACAGAGATTATTAACTCCTTTGTTCCAGACACTAGCTGACCTTGACTCCAATGACATTTTAGGCTTTCTCTAGAAGGAGGCTGATTTGAGTCCATCCTATTCTTGTTCTTGGATATGAGCAAAAACATGCTGGTTGGAACTCCTTGACAGTTACCTCTTCCTCTTTCACTAGCCTATACAAGGATAGAGCTGCTACACCGTGATAGGACATGGCTAGATGAGGTCACGTTTAGTGTGTGTGTGCAAGCATGTGGTGCCTCACTCCTTTTGACTGCAACCCTTACTAGCTGGGGTTGGACAGTCCTAACTAGTGTCCCTGTCAGTAGCTTCCTCACCCCTTAGTGATCTGTCGTAGACACTGCTGCCACACAGAGCCTGCCTTCTCCAGAATCCTTTCTCCCGAGGTGACTTCAGTGACCAAAT